TATAGGGGTACCAGAAGAAGAAGAGAGAGAAAAAGGAATAGAAAGAGTATTTGAAGAAATAATTGCTGAAAACTTCCCCAAACTGGGGGAGGAAATAATCGATCAGACCATGGAAGTGTACAGAACTCCCAACAGAAAGGATCCAAGGAGGACAACACCAAGACACATAATAATTAAAATGGCAAAGATCAAGAACAAGGACAGAGTTTTAAAGGCAGCTAGAGAGAGGGCAAAGGTCACCTACAAAGGAAAACGCATCAGGCTATCACCAGACTTCTCAACAGAAACCTTAAAGGCCAGAAGAGAATGGCATGATATACTTAATGCAATGAAACAGAAGGGCCTTGAACCAAGAATACTGTATCCAGCACGATTATCACTTAAATATGAAGGAGGGATTAAACAATTCCTAGACAAGCAAAAGTTAAGGGAATTTGCCTCCCACAAACCACCTCTACAGGGTATTGTAGAGGGCTCTAGATGGGAGCACTTCTAAAACCAAATAGATGTCACCAGAGAAAATAAAATCACAGCAAAGAAAGCAGACCAACCAAATACTAACTAAAGGAAAAAAATAAAATCAACTACCCACAGAAGCAGTTAAAGGAAGCACAAAAGAGCACAGAATAAAACAACCAACATATAAAGAACAGAGGAGGAGGAATAAGAAAGGAGAAAAATAAAGAATGACCAGTGTCTAAAATAGCTCAATAAGTGAGTTAAGTTAGACGGTAAGATACTAAAGCTAACGTTGAACCTTTGGTAACCATGAATCTAAAACCTGCAATGGCAATAAGTACATATCTTTCAATAGTCACCCAAAATATAAATGGACTGAATACACCAATCAAAAGACACAGAGAAATAGAATGGATAAAAGAGCAAGACCCATCTATATGCTGCTTATAAGAGACTCACCTCAAACCCAAAGACTATAGGAACAAAGAAAGACTGAAGGAACAAAACAGCAGCAGAATCATAGAACCTAAGAATGGAGTAACAGTTACCAAAAGGAAAGGGACTGGGGAGGATGGGTGGGAAGGGAGGGATAAGGGTGGAGAAGAAGAAAGGGAACATTATGATTAGCATGTATAATGTGGGGATGGCATGGGGAGGGCTGTGCAACACAGAGAAGACAAGTAGTGATTCTACAGCATCTTACTACGCTGATGGACAGTACTGTAATGGGGTTTGTGGGGGGATTTGGTGAAGGGGGGACCCTAGTAAACATAATATTCTTCATTTAATTATAGATTAATGACAACAAAATAATCAATCAATTAATTTAAAAATAAAAAAAGTAGAATAGGACCAAATATAATTTGTACTAAAAAGAGGTCAAAATAAGTTAATTGATAGGTAGTAGAAGCCTTGATTCCTAAGAGGGAAAATAACTCCAGAATTTACATATTTAAAAACACCAAATATTTTTAAATATTCTGAGCCCCAAGATATTTACCTAAGAACACGTACACATATTGCATAATAGAATAAACCGATAGTAAGTTAACAACTCTTCAGGAAATGATTACTTAGACTTATATAAAGCAATAGTAGGAAAACTTATTCAGATGAGCATATTATTTCAAAATTCATTAGTAAGAAAATATTTAAATCAAATTGAATGATAACATCTTCTGTGAGAAAAATAAGAGATATATCCAATTCACTACTGAGATTTAAAATGCCCAGCTGTTTCTACCCATGTGGCTCAAGTCTTTTATTACCTTCATTTTTCAAATAAAAATAATTGATTTTCAACTATCAGACATATTATTGACCATTTCCTTTAACCTTTCCCATTCTGCTCATCACCAGATTTTACAATTTTTAGGCTGTGTATTAGAGATCTCCACAGGGTAGATGTTTTTAGTTTCTTGTTTAAAGATGTTGGGGGTTAGTTTCAGGCAAATGCAGGCACCTCAGAGCTGGATTTGATTGTTTAATGTGCCTTTTGATTATCAGACATTACTCACCAAAATTACAATTGTGCACTCCATCTGTTTGGGAGATGTTCCTGATATACCAGTGCATCACCAAATGTTCTGCAACATAATATATATCCAGAGATGGGCTTTTGCTTCCCTTGGCAGAGCTACTGTGATCTGCCCTGGTGTCCTCTGGGTGTGAATAACAATGAGGCAACACGGTTAATCTGCCAAAGAGACCTGGAGAGGTACCATTTAACATACCGCAGACTACACATTCTTAATCTTTACTTGAAATATTTTTAAATGATAGGTCCGTAATTGAGTGACAGTAAGAGGGGGTGGAGAAGATTTTAAATGACTGATCTATTATAAACCAAAGTAAGCCATTCTGATTCAAGCACATGTGGTCTATTGTGATTTACGTGTTGATAAAATAAATATCAATTATCTCTATCTCTAGATACTCGACTGACATAAAGCAGGTTGAATAAACAAACTCCTAACTCACTTTTTCCCTACTTGCAGCTCAACTAGTTGAGCTGTGTGAACTACCCTTGCTCTGCGTTAGTGCCATGTTCTAGGAGGGTTCCAGTGTGCCTTGAAAACATTATTTTATATTTTACCTTTTTATTTCAGAATATACTTCCCCAAAAGTTATATTAAATATATTTAATAAATTTTAAAGTTAATGCATATATGATTATTATAACAATTTAATTCATTGTTCTTTATAATTCATATTATCACATATCAACAATAAATTCATTATCCTTTATATATTTAATTCTTCATTTTTTACATTTAAACAATGAAACCAATTTGAAGTTGCATGTTTTTAAGGTTTATGAATAAATAATAGAGGATTACAAAGATTGAGAACAATGTTTTTACCATATTTTACATTTTTCAATTCCCAAAGCTTTAAACATTTTTCTTTAATGCAAATAATGAAAATAGGGGTTATTCAGATAACCTGAAAATCAGGATTATTCAGATAACCTGGGTTGAAATTTTTATGGAATATTTTTTCAAAGCAGCTCTGTAAGGAAAATTTCAAAGAATAACTACCAACTGGATTTCTTGACAGAAGTGTTTACCTCACTTAAAATCGAAGCCCAATAAGCTTTATAAATGCTACTTCAGCAGCAGTTTACATTTTAGCAATAAACAGTCTCAAATAAAATGATCCTTAAGACTTGTTTAAACACATGAATTTCAGCACTTAACTGTTACTATACTTCAGCACATGCCTATGCTGTTATAGCATGCACCAACGAGATAAAATGTCCAATGTTTGTTGAAATGTTATCAAATTCAGATTTTTCGCTAAATGTCTTAACTTCATCATATCTCGTGATTATTTGAAAAAGAAAGAAAAGAAAATAGAGAAATGACCCATTCCATGTCAAGAGATGTCATTTTTCACTAAAAGTGGTAGAGTAAATTTAAAGGAAAAAAAGTCTTTAAACTTCACTTCTTCCCAATAAAGAAAATCATTAAGTCCAGTGGTTTCTCCTTTGGCCTTGAGTAAATTATGAAACATTGTTCCTTGACATAACTAAAGAAGACTACATATACATTTAGGAGTGGAGTTGCCACATGGATTGGTTACTTCAGAGAATCATTAGTGCTATTTGATCATCAGTCATCAAGACTGGACACCAGAGATGAGAGAGTAATGGTGGTTTGGAGAAAAAATCAAACTGTTTTATTGTTTTCATGTGACTGAATTTTTCATTCCTCATTAAAAGCAAAGCAAGCAAAAAAATAATGTAGATTTAGGTAACTTGTTAATCAAATTACCCTTTTGTTTTACTTTAAAAGTACCTGAAGCCCTCACAAAGCCTGGCCTGAGTTTATATTAGTTTACTCTACTGTGTCACACCATACTTAAAATTATAACAGGACAACAAATTTTTTTTTATCTACTTCAGAAAAAATTATATTTCTTGGTAATTTTAATAATTGTTTGACAAACAGGGAAATAAGCCAGTAATGAGGACAGAGTTTCAACATTCAAATTACATGAAATTTTCTTTTTATTATAATCCTAAACACAATTCAATACCAATTAAATCTCTTCTTTTAACTTCATCTCCATTAAGAATTTTGGGTTGACTCACCCCTCCTGTGTTCTCTCTTAATTCTTCAGACTTGACTAAATACACTCAGCTCTGGTAAAATTATTGGTCACTCTTTTTTAATTGACATGACAAAAAATTACTGCTTTTTCTATGGGGAAGAAAGCCTGACTTTTTTTTCCCCCCAAATGAGACAACAGTGTGGGCAAAACAAAGATCACAGAAGTCCTGACAAAGTTGTGTCAATATGCTTATGAACTATTGATATTGATCTAGGTATACATGAATTCAATGAAGAACAAATTTAGGAATACATTTTTGTAACAAGGGCAGTAAGTTCCTCTTAGTGGCACTCCTGATAGATGCATATATCTAATGTACAAACCATCTGATTTTCCCTTCATTGTAAACATGGCGAAACAGGGTTTACCAACACCATGTACAGTTGGAAACTAATTTGAAAAGTTCAAAATATTTTCTATGTCACTAGTATAGTAAGTGCTCAAGCTGGAATTACAGCCCATATCACTCCTATTCTGATGTTCTTTGTTTCACACTGTAGTGCTTTGTTAACTACAAAACAAATCTACATCTCACAGATAATAAATCTCTTTTCACTTCAATTTTCCAGTTCTGTAGAAGTAGGTGAAAGGAAAAAACTTCTAGATTTGGTTTGATTTATGTCATAGAATTCCAAATTTTTATCATCTTTTTATTATGGTTATTCAGTTCTTCTGGATTTTGTTAGAAAATAATCAAATAATGTTTCATATTTTATTGTCTCAATCAATGTTCAGTACTTTTAAAGGGAAAATGTACCCAGGTTTACAAAACATTTGTATATTGAAAAGTAAGTATTTCAATACACTAAATTGTATAGATATTTGATTATTACACATAAGGAAATCCACATTTATGTGAATCAAGGATTTGGTATCATTTCAGGCATAAGAAGAGAAAATCAGATCTAGGACCTTTTCTCTAAATTTTAAAATTTATTATCTAAATGCTAAATTACTAATCATTGACTTGTTATAGCAAGCATTTTGTTCTTTCTGAACTTTAGGACCCTTATTTTGCATAAGTAACATTTAAACAGCATTTAATTATTAAAAAAAACACAAGAGTAGATCATATGGTATGATCTTTCGGTAATGTCTTTTTTCCACGACTCATTTTTTTGACTCTAGAAAAGTTCTATTATTCACAAAATAATTATAGTCATTGACCTTTTAAAAGCCATTTTTACATAAAAATGAGGCATTTTTATGTATATCCTTAAATATTTGTCCAATGTCCAAGCATTGTAAACATTTCAAACCTAAATATATCCTAAATTGCAGGGGATATTTTAATGGCTGTGCAAATGTCTGAAATACTTTGATTTTCATATAAATTGAAAATGAATCATTGAATATGCTCCATTGTTAGTAGTATGAATGTAAAGGAGACACTTCATATATATTATAACATGGTATGAGATCACATGAACTTCAAATTAATATCTTACAAAGTTATAATTAATTTTAAAAATTCTTAATTGTAAAGTATATATTTAAAATGTTGTCAGTCCTTCCCTATTTTCAGGATAGTTGAAATAAGTTAAATTTTTGTTTTTAATTCAATAACTATAGCTCTGCATACTAAAAGGTTAAGAAGTAAAAGAATTACAAATTTTTTAAATACTTGTAGACTTAAATAATTTAAACCATCTTCTAGCCCTATCATATAGGTCTTTATATTAGGAACATAAATATATGATTTTAATGTTTAAAATGCTAAAGTGTCTATTGCTCACAAACTTTATATTTTAATGTAATATGATTCCAAATAAATAAAGATTTCAAGGTCTGTGTAGTACATAAAACTTTTTGGTATATTGACTCACATTATTTCTGGCATAAATACTCCTCTCCCCTGACACATATACTTTGCAAACTACAGAAAAGCAGAGATTGTCTTAGTCATCTTTTTAATTGGCTAGTAATTAATAACCTGATTACACATAGTAGTTTTAATAAACTTTTTAATGACTAGACATTGTTTGGAATTAAGATATACTGATGTAGGAAAAATGTGAAATCTATATAGAATGCAAATTATAAGGTTATCCTTATGCATTAACAACATTTTCATCAGAAATAATCATCTGTTATAAAATTATATATGTACGTGCAATTCATTAAATGAAATTTTTGTTATATGTAGGGAGATCAAGAAAAGAGAATAATATCTATATATCTTCTTAGAAACTAAAACAAATATATGTAATACAATTTGGCATAATATATAAACTCTTCTGCATTTTGTTATATAACATAGTATATATAATATCTATAAATTTCACATAATGCATAAAATTTTATTAAAAGTTTTTCAGATAGTAGTAAAGCTGATAATGAATAATGAAGATTAAAAAACTGATATGCAATATACTTGGATAAAATGGCATCTGCATTCAAAATTATTTTTCAATCATTGTAAACATAGATTAAAATTTACATTAATACAAATTATCTCATGTTTTACAGGAAGTATTGATGAAGCAGAAAGGGAATGGAAAGCAGGATTCCATCGCTGGAACAATTACTTGATGGACTGGAAAAATCAATTTAATGATTATACTAGCAAGAAAGAAAGCTGTGCAGGTCTCTAATTAATGCATTCAACCTTTATAGAATGTTTGTTTTCCTATAGATCAAGGCAAAAATATCAGAAGCTCTCTTACACACCTAGTAAGAAAGCTATTATATAGCTGAAACAAAAATGCCAGAAGGATAATATCGATTCCTCATATTTTTCATTTAGTATTGTACCTAGCATTTCAAAACCCAAATGGCTAAAACATGTTTAATGAAATTTCACAATATAAAGTTTGACAATTAATTATATGCATAATAAAATGATTTGCAACTTCAAACTCTCTTTTCTGATAACTTGAATAATTTTTCTCCTAACAAGTATTTGTACTTTGTTTTTAGTTGCATAATGCATTATCATTACCACTTATAAAAAAGGTATCTTCTTTAAATGAATTATGTCTTGACACATGGGACACTATAATTTACAACACTATCTCCACTTATTAATATTAATTTAATGTCATAGGTGATATTAAACCAAACACAAATAATTTGTTTAATTTTTATAGGATGGTAAGAATGAATCTTAAAGGGGGTTGGTCACTTAGAAACACCTAATGAATGAAACAAAAACAAAATGTTGTTTCCAAGACATAGTACATAAAAGACTGTAATTATTTCTATTCAGTATTTTCAAAAATATGTATGCTTAGAATCTTCACATTATATTCTTGTGTCTTTTAACCCTTGCCCTTCCTCACCTCCCCAATCTCTGACTCTCCCCAAAGATGTACATATGTAAATTGCTCTTCCTGTAACTCACTAAAAAAGTGGTTGAGTGAAAGTCTAAAGTCAGAAGTCATGTACCATTTGGCATAGGGAAACACTAGGCTGGACACAGAAATAGAACTTTAATAGGGACATTGTTCAGTTCCAGGACAGAAATGGTTATACTTTCTGCATACAAGTGATATTATTTTATAATTAAAAAATTACAAAGCTGCATTTACTAACTTTCTTGGTAAAGGAACATGTGTCCATTGAAAAATTCCCTGAGTAGTTCACTAAAGGGGTGAAATCAGAGGATTATAATTCCCAGAAAAGGACAGTGCATGTTGACTATGGTAGTTAAGCATTGAAAACTAGCACCCAGGATAGAATAAAGTGCAGATAGGTCTGTGGATTGCTGGTTCAGTCATATCCCTTTGTTCACTGGTCATAAGTGTGTCTATAGTTAGACCCACTATGGGTTGTCATTCTCACTCAAAAAGTTTCTCAAAGTTCCTGCTACTTTATCAGCTTCTGCTGGTTTGACAGAGTTGTTATACAAACTGAGTCAGTTTTGATATCATTTTAGTGGTTCTGTAAATGGACATTTTTGGTTTACAGTTCTTCCCTCATCCTGGGAAGCAGCAAGAAGTGTTACCCACCATGTAAAAAACCTCCATGTTTGTTCAATAAATAAATAACCTAGCAGGAATCCACTGTGTCCAACACTATTGCAGAAATTCAGGTTAAGGCTTTAAAAAAAAACTTGTATAACAGAGTCTGTACAGTTTCATTTACTATGATTGCCATTTAAAGGGCAATTTCTGTGCAGAATTCTAATTCAGGGTCCCCAGGCCAAGGGAGAAACTGTTGAATAAAGAAAAATGGGAAGGAGAATCTCTGAATACCTATTTATAATATCTTTTAGAGTTTTGTATTTCAGCAGGCTTATGGATGAAAAGTTTAGTTGTTTGAGATACTAAGAGTTGTGTAAGTATTAAAACCTCAAAATGTAAAAACCCTTCCTAGAGAGCAGAGTACAGGGAGATATTATCTTAGTATAAATGTACAAAGCCATGGAGGCTGTCCCTAATTCTGGTAAAATTTTTAGATGAATTTCTCAAAAGTGTGAGGGACTAGTATGTCTAAGGTTACAACAGAGCAAGTGTAATTCATCTAGCCAGTGTCATGACACTTAGCTTGATCAATTATTTAAGTGAAAACACGTTATCATGTTGTGCCACTCTCTGCAAGACATTACAGTATGTGACCTTACTGAAAATTGATTACCCATGTAATATTTATAAGGATTAAGGTAACAAGTCACATACCTTTAAAAATTTTTAAAACCATTATAACTAGATTTGTTTTTCTAAAAAAAATTGGCTGCTGAATATTATCAGCATGAAGGGTATAAATTTTAAAGATATGGCAATTTCTGGGCTATCAGAAATTAAATCTTACGGATAAATCTTAACATAATTGTAGCCATAACATTTTAGCAGAATATCTTAAGAAATGGAACCTTCCCAACATCGCTGGAGAAGTATGACACACTCAACAGTCAGTAAGATTTCCTGTTGCACCTGTGGTCTTACTGAACTCAGCAGAAATATTCTCTTTATAAAGTTGTTTTTTAAATTAGGATGGTAAGAAAAATAAGACACATAATTTTTTTTTTACTAAATGTACTTCATGTAAATGTAAACCAGTAGTGCTGTTCATCAACACAATCTTGGTGGAAGTTCCAGATGTCAAAGAAATAAGCAGATTTAAAAATATACACAGAGGGGAATGCACACATACATACATTTACACATACAAGGGTATATTAATGTCCAACAAGAGATCACGGTAAAGAATTCACTGAACACTTCCAAGAAGGAGGGAAAAACGAGGGTTTTGGGGTAGAGACAGTCCCCAGACAGTCCCCAACTTATGATGGTTTGACTTACAAGCAATGTAAGCTAAAATCATGGAAGCTGGGGTCTAAGTGAGGACAGAATTTTCTTCCTTCCTCCCTTTCTCCCTTTTTCCCTCCCTTCTTCCTTCCTTCATTCCTTCCTTTTTTCAATTTCTTTCTTTCTTTTCAGGAAAATTGGAATTTTAGATGTTCACATTTGGATATAGTATTAGACTTATGGCCTGCCTATAGAAAGATTTTGCCTTTTCTGTCACTTGCTAACTATGCCGTGGGATACAAGGATAACCACACAACCAACACACTTATAACCATTCTGTACCTATACAACCACTTTTTTTTTTCATTTTCAGTCCAGTATTCAATAAATTACATAAAATATTCAACACTTTATTATAAAATAGGTTTTGTGTTATATGATTTTGCTCAATTATAGGCTAATGTATGTGTTCTAAACATATTTAAGCTATGATATTTGGTAGGTTAGCTGTATTAAATGCATTTTTGACTTATGATATTTTCAACTTACAGGATGAGTTTATTGGGATGTAACCCCAATGTCAGTCAAGAAAGACCTGCATTAGAAAGGATAGTGTATGATGATCCTATGATAGTCATCTAATCACACGTTAAATACTAATGCAAGACATAAAATATATTTTATAATATAAATATATATTTATTGTGCATAAATATATAACTTGAAAAATATTTATCATATATAACAACATACATTAGGACCAATTGTGATAAAACACAGTAGTCATTTTGACATCTAATTGGCAAGAGCTGTTGTAATTGGAAGCATTTTACTTACAAGTTGATTGAAGAGAAAGATAATAGACTGATTTTGTTGTCAGTTACTGAATGAAGAAATATTGTCAGTCAAAATATGAAGAAGGCATTACAAGTTTTCAGGGCACAGAAAAAGCAAAATCTTTCTATAGCCAGGCCACAAGTATAATACTATATCCAAATATGAACATCTAAAATTCCAATTTTCTTGAAAAGAAAGAGAAAGAAAAAGAAAAGGAAGGAAGGAAGGAAGGAAGAAAGAAAAGAAAGAACATAGGAAGGAAGAAAATTCTGTCCTCAATTAGACCCCAGTTTCCATGAGTTTAGCTTATACCACTCTGTCTATCCCTGATCCAATATCTCACCATTAGAATTACTAATTGATGAGATAATAAGCCAATAGAAGGGACATAGTAATTTTGAGGTGAATGAAAACACAAATAACTATACACACACAAAACAAAATACATTTATCTGACCCGGTTTCTTCTCCAGACATGGCATATTTTAAGCCTAGTTTAATCCTTCATGTACCTTGAAAGGTGTAAAAAAAAACTACCTTGAATTTTTCAAGGGAATTTAACAGTCAGTGTCTTGAGATTTTGAGATTCACCTCTGGATTCCCAGCTAGGAACTGCTTACACCATGTTACCACACTTTGTATGGTGCTTGTTGATTGACTGAGTGAGAGGATAAGATACAGCAGAAGTTAGTTCCAGTATGAAGGAGCAAAATTGCATTGAGAGTCTTTGGATAGCAGAGGAAGCATGAAAACAAATTTGGAGGAAGAAAAAAAGAAGGAGGGGCAGGAAGAGAAGGAGATAGGGGAGGAAAAGAAGAGGCACTACTGTCACCGTTTGGAACTGAATTTATCCAAATGGACTGTCTAGGCTCTTAGAGTTTCAGGAGAGAAGAGGTGATGAGATATAGGAAATTAGAGATACATATATCATAGGTAATTTCACATTAATATATGGGATATTTAACTCAGTAATTCTCATTGACTTCACACTAGAATCCCTGGGGTTAGCTGGGGCCTGTGTACCCCAACCCAATAAATTAGAATCTTTGAGAGTATAACCCAGACATCAGGATATTGTTAAAGTTTCTCAGGTGATTTTGATTTCATCAAGTTGAGATGCGCTGATTTATTTTTCTATGATAACATTGTTTGTCTTGACAGGTTAAAGGACAGTGCTTTCTCTACAGAAGAAATTATAGGTCAGTAATTTCCAAACTGTTACATATTTGAATGTCCTGAGAAGTTATTAAAGATCCCAATATCCATGTCACACCCCATACCAATAAGATCACAATATAAGGGTGGGAGCCAGGCATCAATATTTCCTAATCATCTCTGATTTGTTCTAATGTACAGCAAATATTGGAAATGAATTATCCATTGTAGATGGTTAATTTAAAGAACTGGGAGGCTATTCACATTGTTTTAACACTCAAAAGCAGAGTGTGAGAAGGAAATATACTTGTTATTGATATCTGAGAAACTAACAGCTTTCCTCTGAACAAGGAACTGTAACAGATTACTGTATGTATAGAATAAATTTGGGGTGCACATTTTTTTCTAGGACTTCTACAATAGATATCATTTTACCAATAAATGTATGCTCTGGAAAAAGGTATGTTTGAAAAATAAAGAGAAAATGAAATCTATTTAATATTTTACAGTGGTTTATGTAATAGCAGTTATTTCAGAAGATCATTTTTTGTTTTGAGCTAACTCAAAGTTTGCTACCAATAACTGGTAACAGTAACTCAGTTTCAAGTTAAGAAATCAGATTTTGATTCTCATTTTTCAGTGTTCTTTTCATGTAAAAAGGTATCAACTGTCATGTG